GCTCTGTTCTACCCCAAAACAGGACAGTTCAGTTGTCAGCTTCTCAGGTACTATTTTTTCCCGAGGAATGCAAATTAGTACAGGAAAGTGGCAAATCATATTTTCTGTGGCATCAGTTCTCATCAGTGATCATTTTAGTGAAGCTTGCTTAGAAGCAAGAATAACTGCTGTAATAGTAGATCTGGGTCTGGCTCAGATAATATTCTCTACAAGAGTCTCACTTCGATTGAATAATTCCTGATAAAATTGCATCTATCATCAACAAAACTATTGTATGGATGTATTAGAAATAATACCTACGTGCCAAGATAAGTTTATTTATTTATGCTAATTTTTTTTTTTCCTTCAGAAATTAGTAAATGAGACATTCCAGAAGCTCTGGTTTACTCCAACTCCACACCATGACAAAGAAGCAATGACCAGGAAAATACTAAACATTACTGATGTGGTATGATAAACAAATTTTAATTAAGTTGCATGCAAAATTTGATTATGTTTTTATTATCTTTAAATTATTGTCTGTAGTCTTTTAGAATACAAAAAGATATGCCAGTAATTAGCAAAAATATGCAATTAATTATCAGATGGTGTTCTTGATATGTCTTCTGACATTGAATATATGCTAAAATTATTTAAACTGATGGAATAGGCTGTAGGAAACTTTAGATGCTCGCTAATCTGCTAGCAGTGATAACTGAGACCACAATTGTATAAAAGGCTGTATAAAATACTTGTTCAGTTAAAACACAACAAATTTATTTCTATTTAACATTTCCAGGAAATTCTAGTAACAGCATATAGTTAAGCCTAACTAAGAAGTTGTCTCTTTAAAGAAAAATTTCCCCAGTTGATAACATTTATTTTGAAAGATTGATAAGCTGTTTTAACATATACAAGGTCACATTCTCACCTAGGGTTAAATAGTATCTGCATAATTTTATCTACTTTTTAGGAGCAGCAAATGAAATCGCATGTCTAAAAAAAAAAATCTGTTTCAAACAAAATACTTATACATTTGTATTGAAAATGTGCTGTGTAAAACCACTGTGCTGAGAAGGTATTTTAATATCAACTATACCAAGATGTAAATCAAAGTACTTGCTTCACTACTTAAAATTATGGGTTTAAACTTCATTCTGCTTTTCAATATCCTTACTAAATGGTAGTGTAGTGTGCATTTTTTTCAGACTGAGACATCAGTTGATTTGACTTCAGCTTAATTCTCATTTCTCCTGTCAATTCTGTTTTGGAGCACCTGTGAGCTATTCCTGATATATGATACCAATGAAGGCTTAGTTTGTATATACAAAAATATGTATATGCATTTATATATTCACACATTCATTTTTAATATGTCAGGCTTGTATTTCTGCTTTAATCTGCACATAATGTTGTTCTACAAAACTAAAGTGTGGTTGATATTAGGGCCAGCAATCTCCAGTAAAATGTGTAGGACTTGTGTCGTATGGGATACAAATTCTGGGATCACTTAAATAGTGAGAAATATTTTTCAAATGCAGAAGATGCTTTCTGATCTCTAAAGCTATTGTACTGAATGTATATGAAAATATATCTATGTATGTTTACTGATCTTTTAGGATGACATCTGTATTGAAGTAATTTTTCTTCAGATGTCTTTTTTAACCAGTTTATTCTCAAAACTGCTTTTAGGTTGCAGCTTGTAGAGATACAGGGTATGATTGGTTTGAACAGCTTCTTCAAAATGTAAGTAATGAATTTGAATGTATGGCACAATCATTGTAAGAATTTTAACATTTCTTTTGGTACTAAAACACACTGAAGGGAGACTACAAAAGCAGTCATTTACAGTAGACAAATCCAATTCGTGCCCTTTAATTCATATCTCATCTGACCTTTTTTAGATTTACATTGGTGTAATTTTTTTTGTCTCCAACATTTGTTCCTTTCTTTCCATATGATCTGTTTTAAAAATACGTCACCTTTTGTTTTTTAGTTTTTTTGTTTGGGGTTTTTTTTGGGGTGTGTGTGTGTTTGGTTGGTTTATTTTCACATCCAATATACTTGTTACACAGTTTATAGAAGCAGTGAATCTTCAGAGTATAGCTTACTTCTACATTATATTTTGTATTCAATAGGTACAGCTTTGTAAGGGAAGGCCTGGTAAAATCATGGCTCCGGCCTGTAACTTAGGCTAAGCAGAGAAGGGCTCTGGGAGAGTGACTCAGCTAGAATAGAGGAGGCGAGGCATGCTGTGTGTTTGCACCGTGGTGTTTGGTGGTTGGTTAAAATGGGTTTGTTGTGCCTAAAAAGTATGTAAACTAATGGTCAACTAACAGATAAAAAGGATGTTTTTTTTGTAAATAAAGTTCCTTCTTTGCACCTGCCTGGGGACTCCGTGCTGCTCCGTGCGCCTGTACAGACACAATATTTTACTCTGATTTTTCTAAGAAATGAGCTTGCTTTCTTTATATCTCTTAGCTTGTGTTATCTTTCTTCTCTACAACTTGTATGGGCTTGCTAATTTTCAAGCAAAATTACTAATAACATGCATGGGGGAATTAGAGGTCTCCAAAGATTTTACTTTAGCCTGGAGTGCCATGAAAATAGGTAGCCAAGTAAGCCAAATTGCATCTTAATGCCTGCACTGAATAAAAAGCTATAGTACAGGCTCAATTAAATTAACTAATTAAAACGTTCATAGAACTATGTTTCATCTTAGTTTACTTTTTTTCTTAGTATCAAAAACAACATTCCTTTTTAATTTTTTTTTCTAAGTATTTTTAAAAGCCTTCTAACTTCTATTAGTTATTGCTGGCAAGTATGGCTACATTATTTTCTGCATTATTTCATCAAGCACAATGTTAGCTTTCATCCCAATGCAAAAAAATCAGTAGAGCTGTTCTGTCTTTTTGTCACAGTTAATTTTTCTTCTCTTGAATTTTGGTTTGATTTTTTTTTTCAATTACCTTAATTTTTTTCTTCACTATGTAACTTTTATGGAGAAGTTGCATACTTTTGTAGTGCAAAATCCTTATGTATCTGTAGTAATTATTATAAAACCAGTATGTATTTAATGTAAATTAATGCACCCTTAATACTAAATCCTTTTTTGTTTCCTCTGCTATAGCTGTTGAAGTCAGAAGAAGATGCCTCATATAAACCTGTGAAGAAAGCCTGTACTCAACTTGTTGACAATTTGGTTGAGCATATTCTTAAATATGAAGAATCCTTATCAGGTAATATTGTTTACAACCCAGTAGCTCCTTTGAATTTTATATGATATTGAAACAATGGTGGTTCAAATTACTATCATGAAAAGTTACTGTTACAGAATCCCAATTACAAAATTGATGGTAATGAATTATTGCATTTAAGTTCATTATGAATTTTTGAGCACTGTATAATAATAAAGCTTCCCTAATTTTCTTTAGCTAACCATAATAACAGAACTACTTTTAAAATAGCTTGTTCAAACTTTTAGATCACTAGAAACAAAAGTGGCAAGCTTTATTTGCATTAATATGTTTTACAGTTGTAATAGGGATCCTTGGCTGGGCCAGTGTTCTGTGTACAGTAAGTAGTTTAAAAACTAGTGGTGTCTTTGAGGCATCTTTGTTTCTTATTTCACATATTTTGTGATCACATACAAATGTTAACATATTATGTTCTCATCTCTAATCTAATAAGAATATTCCATATTGATCTTAAAAGATATGTTATGAAAGAGATATTCATATGATGTTTTTCATTGCTCAAACATTACTTTGTGTATTTTCTAATTTTTTTGCAGATTCTGACAACAAAGGTGTGAATTCTGGTCGCTTGGTTGCTTGCATAACCACTTTGTTCTTATTCAGCAAAATCAGGCCCCAGTTAATGGTCAAACATGCCATGACCATGCAGCCATACCTGACCACTAAATGTAGTGTAAGTAGAGAAAATTACAAAATTACAGTCTTATTTTTCCCTAGATAATTAAGCATGGAAATTAATGTCTCTCCTGTATGCTTGATGAAATTGAAGGTAGAAAAAGAGAAATAAAAAATATGTTTCTATTTCATGAGCATCATATCTTATGGGGCTATTAGGTCTTTTTGATGATCTCTGGAGCTTCTAAGATGCTGTTCCTCACCCTCTGCCTTCACATTTTACAGATAAATGAAAC